CTAGAAATAGATAGATAAAGATAGATATAGACAGATATATATAGATAGATATAGATATAGATAGATAAATAGATAGATAGCTATAGATAGATAGCTGATAGGTAGCTATAGATAGATAGATGGATAGATAGTGACACATACACATATATATATATGTATTTATTTAATTAGATAGATAGGTAGATAGGTAGACAGATAGATAGATAGGTAGGTAGATAGGTAGGAAGGCCCACGCACAACATCAGCTGTCGCACTACCTAGACCCAAATTTCATGTCTACCACATTGCCACGGTTTTGGCAATGGAAAAGCAAGTGGACCATCCCTGGTGTTTCTTGACGCTCAGAGTTGCTCCCCCGCCAGAGTTAATTTTGATTTTGTGACTGGTCAAAAACTCCTGGGTGCACTTTGCTGCCTTGGTCTTCTCATCGAATGGCACGGGGGTCACATACATCTGGTCTTTTGTCCACCTGAGGCAAGCCATGGAGGAAAGCACTGGTGGAAAGGAATGTGTGGCGATTGTGGCGAACTGAGGCTCGGGCAAAATTCCTATGGATGCCTGGGTGGCCGTGTCTTCGGGCTTCAGCGTGAAAGACTTGGCCTCCCAGTGAGATCAAAACTTCATGTATCCTTATCCTGTTTATTTACCGACGTTTGGATTTTTTTTGGGCTCAGTGCTGGATGTACCTTTTATTTTTTATATGAAACCCACTGAATAAGAATACAGAGCCAAGGATGGGAACTGCTATGGGCCTCTGTGTAGCAGTAATCTTCTGGAATGGGAATCTGTGCTTCGCGAAGCAAGGGCTCCTACACAGCAAGGAATGCAAATCCCTAAAGCTACCTTACAATCTCCAAAACTTAAAAGCCTGTTGGAAATGAAATGGCAGTGAACCCATCCGTTGATGCTGACAACAAATGTTTACTTGGGCTTTCAATTTCAACAGATTGTGTGGGCTCCTTCAGTTTCCACAGGTCTTCTTGAGAAGATCCATCGGACGGCTTGCTTGAAGGAGGTGCCACAAGTGGAACTGACGGTGCTGCTGCTGTGTCATCCTCATCCGGTTCCTCCTGTTGTTTTGCCTGTGACTTCGCCTTTGCCTTTCCTTTCGCCTTAGATTTAATTGCAGCTCTGGGTTTCTTGGGTTGTTTCTCTTCCTCTTCCTCCTCCCCGGCACCACGTTTTTTCCGCTTTCGCGGCATTGGCAGCCTCACATATTAGATAGTGGCATTCTGAATGTATCAGCAACACTTTGATTTGTTCAAAAAATATTGCGTAATATATGTGCATACAGATATTTGGAAGATCAGGTTAGGCACCTTTCTCTGGGCTACTGCCAACTCATAATCCTTCTTTGTAGCGTCTTGCATGGCTTTCACTTGCTCCGCCAGAGATCCATCAACTCGATTAGGTACAGCAAGCAATGGGCCACGAGCTTCCTACACACAATGAAAAATGAGACAAAGGGATCTTGGCAAATAAAACGACATTAATATATATATATATGTAAATATGTTCGAACTTGGTGGCAACTCGGTCCTTGAAAGCCTGCCGGTCAGGGTGGGCCTCACAACGCATTAAAATCAAGCTTATCGATTCTTGAACGAGAGTGCTGTGAGTAGGAGCCGTTTTTACAAAGCATACTGGGGTGCAAACTCCTGGTTGCTGCTTGCAATCCGCCTTCCATGAATTCAAAGAAGGGCATGTGCAGCTAATGGACTGTTTCATAAATAGCACTGAAGTCAACAGCTAGGCCTTGGAGACCTTGGCTTCGTCCTTCTCACTGGGAACTGTCCCCGAGACCTGCTCGGATCAGGTCATCTAGATCCCATCACATCCAAACCCTGGTCCGCTCTGCAACAGCCTTTGCACCATCTCCGGCAGGTGCTGCAAGTGCAGGCTGAGTAGAAGCTGCCTGGCGAAGAGTTGCTTCAGAAGTATTCCAAATGCTCATGTAGGAAATATTTCCCAACATGAATCCCAACATTCAATGTACTGAGAGGGTAAAACATTATTCCTGCATGAATCATGTGGGATTTAGACATCTAGATGAAAAAAGTATTGAATATATATATATGTGTGTGTGTGAGTCATACATCGAGTATATAAAAATTATTCAGCTGAAGAAAGGAAACAGCATATTGATGTTTATAAGCATCGGAAGAATTTCTTACTCATGCATGTTGGGCCTCAAGAAGCTTCGGCCCCATATCAGCATCTGTAGATGTAGCTCCCCGGCAAGCCTACAAACCAGTACTAGGTGATTATTTGAAACAAAGAAACAGCGATTAGATCTGCAGAGCGGCAGCGCCTCCGTTGCTTGTCCAGCTGGGTGCTTTGGTTCTGACTCCTCCTGTTGGCTGTTGGAAGTCAAAATATATTAGCCAATGCAACAAGGTTCATCATCTACAACAGTGCAGCTGAAGAAATCATATTGTTATTGTGTGGCAGCTGGATGGGTCCGGAAAGAGTGCGGCCCAATCAAAGTCAGCAGGATATTGCGAATCTTCACGCTCCTGACTGGGACTGGGCCAGTTGGGGCGAAGACAAAAAAGATTAACATATAAAACAGCTAAGTAGAATTCTTTGCATTTGTTGCTGAAGTATCCAAAGCCCAACTGACAATCAAGATTGCACTGGCAGCACCGGCTGCAGGTTTTCAGGATGCGATAAAAGGAGAGCCATGGTCCTCCATCTCTTTGCGTGTGAGGTATTTCACAGGTTCATCATCCAGGTCCTCAAACAATGAGGATTGAATCCAATGGGCTTATGGTAAATACGTTTAAATGTTGCAAGGGAAAACTTTCAATAAGGATTTATCAAAATACGGGGGGCCTCAAACCTAGGAAATTTAACCAAAATCTAACAGGTTTGGGGCCCTTTAGTTTTTATTAGTTTGAGATAGTTCCAATCTCCTGATCACTTGAAGAGATGCTGCTGGCATGGCTGGCCGACGGCACAGGTGCATTGCCTGCAACCCGAAATTTTGATGACGTGAATTCAGCAAAGGATTTGATTAAAAGGGATTTGGCCAACACCCCTGTGCGCAGCCTCCGGTCACTTCAGCCACCAGCTGCTTCAACATCCTTATGTTTTCTCTCCTGCCAGAATTGAGGGAAAAAACCTTAAGGTCAGCATGTTCTTAGTTATACTCTAGCGCTCCATGTAAGCAAATGGTTTAAAACCCCAACACAAGTCATACAAATATAACCCCACAAATCAATAGTACCAATATATTGCATCACATATGGCATCACATGACTAGGCCTTTCACCATTAAAATGGTCATATGATATCACATTCCCTCCAAAAATGCAGTCCTGCTCGATTCAGACCGCGTTGACAAAAGCAAAGCATGGACACACATTGCCCGAATTTGGCCTCCCCAGTGTCCACTCCAGTCCTGCGCTCAAACTTAAAGATAACATAAAGAGGTTGTCATGATGGACCCAAGCCCACCTTGATGACCTTCACACGTGTGCCTTCTGGAAAGATAGCATGGGTCTTGGCAACATACACCAGGACTGCCTACAGCGCCCCCCCCCCATCGAGCAAAAGCAGCACGCACGCTCGCATGCACACAACACACTAAGGCACAGCTGCAACATAAAAACACAGACGCGTAAATTTGAACACAAAAGTACGAAGCAAGCCATGCTGGCCTTGAAAGCTGAATGGTGCGGAAAACCAGTAGCTGCAAACTGCGCTATAAAGGGCACCAGGAAATTCGCAAAACGATCCACGGCATCAACTGAAGCAGGTCCCTCCTCGGGCATCTTGTCAAGGAATGGGTGTTTCGGGCCAGCATTCCTCACCCTGTGGATGAAATTTTCATCTTCGGTCACTAAAGAAACAACGACTTCCCGCAGCAAAAGGAAATCAACTTTCTTGGCATCAACTTCCGCCATGCTCAAAGCAGCAGCGCGCACGCTTAAGGGCCGAAAAGTTCTATAGAAGAAATCCAAGTTTGTAAAGTTGCAACTCACCCTGGCAAAAACCCAAACAAAGCAGTAACAGAATCAATGCTACATACCGGCAAGGGAGGAAGAAGGGAGAAGCGCACCTTGTGAATCACCACGCGGGGGCCCATCAGACCATGAGCCTAAGCAAATCATCCAGCTTATTCCCATAACTTTAGGCATGTCAATCACAAACTGAGCATCAAACCGAAATCTGAAGATCTCAGCATAAGGATTTGAACATATGAAACAGCTGCGGGGGCCATATCTCTGAGTTCAGCCCGATTCCAGCCCGATTCCCGACAAGAAAGACGAACGTAGGCCTGAGAGGCCAACATGCCAATGTGAGCTTCTAGGGGCTACATTTGTACGTAGGATATATTTGCCTACATGGAGCGCTAGGGTATTATATATATTATATATATTATATATATTATATATATTATATATATTATACATATTATATATTATATATATTATATATTATATATATTATATATTATATATATTATATATTATATATATTATATATTGTATATATTATATTATATATATATATTACAGTATATATTATATATTATATATATTATATTATATATATTACAGTATATATTATATATATTACAGTATATATTATATATTATATATTATATATTATATATTATATCTTATATATTATATATTATATCTTATATCTTATATATTATATATTATATTATATATATATATATATCATATATATTATATACGTATATATATACATAGTTATTCATGATGTGTTTGAGTGAAGCCAATGGTTAAGAAATCCTTCCATGTTTGGATGGTTACCAACCCATTTCTGGTGATACTGATGGTTTGTGGTTTGGGGTTTACCACAGTAATGGCCAGGAAATCTCTCTGACTGAAGGTCTTGGCGGAAGAGTCACATCTCTCCATATCTTTGATGGTAAGGTGATGATGAAATCAGCTCAGATCCCTATTTTTCTTTGTGAAATCACCTGTTCATCACCATTTCTGAAGAAAAAAAATCTAAGGCTTCGGGCCGTCCAAAAGCGGGGCACCTGCAGTGGCAATTCATTCACGGTTTCAATGGAGTTCAACAAAAAGTGGCGGGGTAAATTAGCATTTTAATACGGAGCTCACCAAGAAAATGCGGAGAACATTTTTTTCCACCCTTTGTAGAACTTCATTTTCTGACCACTCGGGCTGTTTAAAATTCCCTCGTCACGGGTCCCGGGTCCAAGGACCACCTTGTGTGAGTTGAAGTGCGGTGGATAGACGTGGTTCAACTCGTGCGCATTGTCCCCATTGAAGATCTTTCCTGCAGGAAGCGCGACCCGCGACCCAAGGAGATAGAAATCATGGGGGAACCGCTCTTCTATTGTTACTATTACTGTTATTCTTATGCTCAGGATCTTTTATTTCTGTATAACTGTAATCTATATTAGCAAATTCTGTCACAATCTATGTATGTCCATGACATATGTATGTTTATATATATATATATAGATGCGCAGGTGTCCTAAAATGGGGGCTACCCCCAAATCATCCATTTTATTTTCGGATTTTCCATGATCGGGTACCTCCATGAAACCCGGTCCTCGCAATTGCTTCACCACGTTCTTCCGTTGCGCTCCAACCTGGCATTGCCGTATCAGGTCTGCAGGTCGGATGGTTTTCCTGTAGCGGCTACCCGGCCTGGAAACCATAGAAAAAGCTATTGAAAATGGCCATTTGTCGTTGATTTACCTAATCAAAATCCTGATGTTCCATAGTAGTTGGGATGATGAAATTCCCAACTGAATGGAAAGTCATAATCCAGTTATGTTCCAAACCACCAACCAGTTATGTTAAAGTTACTTTACTTCTTAGTTAGTCATGAGATATAGATCATAGGATGAAGATGGATGAAAATGCTGTAGATGTGCAGTTTTTACCATCGAGACCTTGGACAAACTTCCGGACCAAACGACCAAATTCCATCGCCCCAGATCGCCCCAACCGCAAAGAAACCAACGCCAAAACAGAAGAAATCGGACCGATAGGATTTTTCTATCAGAAGCGTCACAGTTTTATCCATGTCTCCAGCTGTGTCACAGTTTTATCCATGTCTCCAGCTGTGTCACAGTTTTATCCATGTCTCCAGCTGTTTCATGGTCGAAAAATATCTGTCTTTATAATACATGTTTTTTTCACCACCTCACAACCTGATACAACCTGGATGTCCTGCAGCCCCAGAAAACCGACGAATCTCTGGTAACTCGGGGGATGTGCTTTCACCATAGCCTCATTTTTTGGAAAGAAATGGCCGATAATAACCATGGATTTGCTTAAGGAACCATGAAAAAGTTAAAAATATTCCCCATAGATTCCCCAAGTAGTGGATTTGGAGAAAATGAAAAAAATCATCAGGAAATCCAAGTTTTACACGTTATTAGATTGTTCAGCCAAAGAAATTATTACATCACATCAAAACTGGTTGGTGGTTTCAACCCGTCTGAAAAATATTAGTCAGTTGGGAGTATTATTCCCAATATATGGAAAAATGATCCAAATGTTCCAAACCACCAACTAGAAAATCGTTTAAGAAAAACGATGGTTTTCCAACCCCAAGCCCACCTGGTCGTAGCCCCAGGCGTATTGGTTCAGAAAACCATCCTCCAGTGCCTCCACCACACGACCTGGCGCCGAAAATTGGGGTCAGCCGCCATGATTTTGAGGTTGATTTCGTAGGGATTTTCCTAGGGGTTTTATGGTATTTTATGGTGATTCATAGGGATTTCATAGGGATTGTTTGAGTGGTACCCTCTGGTAACCATACAAAAAGATGTTGAAAATGGCCATTTGTCGTTGATTTACCTAATTACAAACGTGATGTTCCATGGTTAAGTTAGTTTACTGGAGGGTAAATCTTGACCAAAAGCCCTCCAGAATAATCAGAATAGCTAGGGAAATTGAAAGTTAAACTATGAAACGGAATTTAGTAAGTCGGAATAGTTGGAAATGTTGGCAATTAAAAGGATTCAAGTCACAAAAATATGAAGGAAATTCGAAAAACATGATTTTAGCATATTTTAACTAGCCACAAAAGTGGCTAGATGTGTCTTTCGAGTAGTTGTATGTTCCAAAAAAGGATAAGGATAAACTACCATCATTCGTCAACCTGAATAGTTCGGCTATTCCCTTAGAGTCATCGAGACAGTCCTAAAGGGGTCCTTTGAATTACCAAGCTCCGCAAATCTTCTGGCAGTCAACCAAGTGGTTGTGTGATTCACTGGATTGGTTTAAGGGAAAATTTACAGGAAACCATGGTTTTTACCATCAAATATGGGGCTTTCCTGTAAATTTTCCCATCATCCAATTCTATGAGTGATAGTCTGGGCTGGAGTCGTTCCGAGGAAAAATACGGACGTCTCAGCAAATGCTCACCGTTTATACCTATTGTAAGTTTCATCTCTTTCTATGGATCAAAAAAAACAAAACCGTACCCCGCTTTCCACAATTTCAGCAGGTAGTTTTTTGGATGTTTCGTCCTCCATTCACAGGGGAAAATCCCACAGGCCTCTCTCGGGTGTAGTGAGACGGTTGTCCTGTCCATGATATGACGGCGTTCAGGTTTAGTTCAAGGGATTCATTTCCAGGTCGTGGATAAAGAAATGAAGGCAATTTTTTTCTATCCCTACTGGCTGCCTATAAGCTATTCGTCGTATCCTTTATTTCAGCATGTCGGGCTGAAATGTCCCTGTGATGTTCGGATGTACAGTATGTCCATGGTCACTATGGGTCACTGGGGTGGAATGACTCCGTCCTGTCCCAACCCTATGGGCTGTGGAAAGCAAACAGTACTGGGCTGGATTCCCAATTGGCGGTGAATGTGTTTGCAAATGTCAAAAAGGATTTTGCTGGCTATCCTACCCTCTAGTAAACTAACATAACTATGGAAAATCACCGTTTTTAATGGGTAAATCCACTATTCCTGTGGCCATTTTCAATAGCTATGTTAAATTACCGGAGGGTAATCTGAAACGAGCATATGCTGCAAAATCATGATACTCCACGATCCTCTCCACTGAATGTATCTCTGAGCACCTTGATAGTTTCAACCCGAAATTCAACCAAACACCATCCTGTTTCCGTTCCTATCTCAGTTCAGGACCCACATCAAATTGTTGTGATTACCATCCTATTTTTTTGGTGCCTGATTTGTTACAAGATTCCCATAATAATCCCCATGATATCCTCCATTATCCCCACTCATATCCCATTAAATCCATTTAAATCCCATATAACAAAACAAAAAATAATCCATTGTTACTAAAATCCCAGAAAACGTGATATGGATCTCATAAATGTTGATTTTCTGGGAGATCCCATAACAATTTATCAGTAAATCTCGAGCATCCACCCGCTAAGTCCATGGTTCGTGGCCTTCCCAAATGTTTTGGCCACGAAGTAGTCGGTAGGACCTACCACGCCATCCCCGTCGATGTCCTGCGAAGGAGGCCGGGTTTTCACATTTTTCACCAACAAAATTGAAAGGGATGTCACCAACAAGAATGGTGGTTTTAACCAGTAAAAAACATAATTTAACTAAGAAAAATTAGGATTTAACCAAGAAGAATTGGGAATTAATTAGGAAAAATTGGGATGAGTTCACCAAGAAAAATGGGAGATGATGGGAGATATGATGGGGATAAGATATGGGATATGCAATGACTGGAGAGCCAAGCAACAAATACTTTCTTCGAGTGATCGCCACCCTTACACACGATTCTGACATAGTTTCTGACATACCATCTGGAAGTATTTATACACGGCATATCTATTCTGACATTCTATCTGACATTCTTTCTGGCATTCTATTTGGCATCTACTCTGACATTCTTTCTGGCATATGTATCTGGCATACATTTTGATATTTTTTCTGGCATTCTATCTGGTATATCTTCGGAGATTCTTTGTGGCTGAGGTCCGGCGGGGAACACTTTGATCCTGAGCTTGCAGTGGAGGTCTGGTGGGGAACACTGCGATCTAGCGCTTGCAGCAGTTGAGGTCCGACGATTGAGGTCCGGCGGAGGAGGAAGCGGAGGAGCAGGAGGCGGGAGGCAGGAGGCGGGAGGCAGGAGGCGGGAGGCGGGAGGCGGGAGGCGGGCGAGACAGCTGACATAAAATCTAACAACCCTCACCTGACAGGTGGGGAAAAACGGGAGATGACGACGGGATACCAGCATGGATGATTATGGGGGCACCGATGAATGTCTCTGCCCAATATCTACATGTCACAGCTGATCTTACGAGTCGGGAAGGATTTGCAAGATATGGTGATTGGCGTCAAAACCTATACTGGCAAAAGACCATTTTTGGGGTTGTGAAAATCGGAAAAAAAAAAACAAGCATTTGTGCTGTGAACAGCCAGGCAGCATCTTGGGCTCCGAGTTGGCACACCTGCAACCCTGCTATTGCCCCCATTTCTTTTCAGTACCCTCCAGAAATCTACCGTATAATAAGCCTCGAGGTATCTAGCCTGTCAATCAAACTGGGTTCCAGATCATTTCTTAGGGAATACGTGGGGGTGCCGTAAATCATGAGTGAATATCATGGCTATAACGTAAGTATGGGATTCGAACATATCCTAAGTCCCATAAGTTAGGATATGGGGCCGCACCTGGGGGGTGCATCCCAGTGAGTAAATAGTTTATAAACCATATATTGTGCATGTAGCTGAGGATATTTTCAGTTTTTATTGGTTGCATTTTTGCCAGGCTTATTCCCCACGGATCGCAAGTGGGGCCCGCACGTCCAAGCATGATGTTACAAGGTGAGGCCCTCCAATTTTAAGCTGCCATATAAATTCATTGATCATAAGTTATATCCCCCACAAACCATAGAATTCACCAAGTGACGTTCATCAATTGAGCGCTGGAACTCCACCCCCTCCATGGCACGCCAGGATCCCCCACCATGGAGATGTCAGGCACACGCGCCGCACGACGTTTGGCAAAAAGCTCCGTCTGGGTGCGATGCTGGGGCACCTGGGCAGGTGAGATGGCGATGCTGGGAAGATCATTACAAGGTGGTGCCCCATACTTAGCTAAGTTGGTTTATAACTACAATAATTCGGATTTATGGTAGATATCCGCCGACCCCAGCCGACGGCAAGGGGAGCGCGTGCCAGGAGCAGCAAAGTTTCTTTGCGGCCTTTTGGTGGGCAGCATCCCGGTCCTCCGACGCCTTTTTTGGTAGGCTGCATCCCGGTCCTCCGGTGCCTTTTGCAGCTTGCCGGCCGCCTAGCGCCGTACTTTGGATCTGCCGGGCGCCTTCAGAGAGGTTTTCTACTGGGTTCAGAAAGCAACGTTAGGCAGTAGCCTGACTAAACGTGTTCCTGCCGGGCTGCTCTGAAAGGGGTCAGTCTGTCGTTTGACCTGGCGGACAAGTCCTTGATCGCCAACTTCCAGCAGCAAAAGCTTGGCCAACATCCAGCTGTCCACTAGCTCAGCTCAAAGGGGTAAGGGAAATTCTGTTCTATTCTATGCTTGCTTGCATGATTTGAGATGTACCCTAAATGTTGCAAGTCAACAAAAAAGGTTTTAATCTGTTGCCTCGTGATGCGATTTTCTGTACCTTCTCAAACCATCACATGTCATTGAAGGCTCTCACAAAACCTTATGGCTGCTATGAAGCACCAGCACAAAAGTTTTCTAGGGCAGCTCTGAAGATGGTTCAAGCTAGTTGTAATACTGTCATCCTGTATATAGATCTGTTCTGGGGTCGGCGGCACGGGGGCAGCACCCCTTTAGTAACTATAGTTCATGGACTTTATAAACTAACTTATAGCTGGGGGGCACCACATTGTAGGAAGATAGTGGGAATATAGTGGGAAATATCAGCAAAAATATCCTGTGTGACTCTGGTGGATTTGGGGACTACCTAGTGGAATATCATATCAGAATGGTGGATAGAACTGGTGCTGTAATGGGAAAAAATTGGATGGCGAACCAGCAAGAATGGACAGCAATGGGAAAAAAAACTGGGATACCCTCTGGTAAACTAACATAACTATAGAAAATCACCATTTTTAATGGGAAAACTCACTTTAAATGACCATTTTCAATAGCTACGTTAAATTACCAGAGGGTATGATGGAATATTGAATGGTGGCTGGTAGTGACCATGGTTGTATCGAAAATATTCCAATATGGGATAAGCTACCAATCAAAACTGACGATTCATCGGTTATTCATCCTGAAAATTTCAGTACCAACTATTTCTGGTGGATTTTCCAGCACGCCATGGGTCACCTTTTTAAGGGAGGAAGATGGTGATAGCACTGGGAATGTTTTTTTAAAACATGGTTAATTAATACGAATTAGTGGTTAATTAATACCCTTATGGTTAATCATGGTTAATGATGGTTAATGGTGTTTTTTGGTGGTTAATATACTATAAACTAAGAGAGCTATTGAAAATGGCCATAGAAATAGTTGATTTGCCCAGCTATAAAATGGTGACTTTCAACAGTTATGGGACAGTTTACCAGAGGGTAAGTTGGCTACTTTTTGTGTCCCAAAGAGCTGAGATATACACATGATCAGTGCCCAAAAGTGTCTATCCTCAAAGCAACTGATGGGCAGTGTGAACTATACCCAGCTGGTTTTTCTTCACCGTCCCAAACATCAGCAGACCACCATCTGTGGCTCATCCCCAGTCCTGCTGGTGAAATCCACAGACTCTTGATGCTGAAAAACTGAAAAAACTATCAACATACACAAGAATTCTAGATATTTTGGAGGCAATGCTCCTGTGTTTTTTTTTTGAAAACTCGGTACCCCAGTGGATGCGCCATGGATTTTTCAGACGCCTTCGTCCATTCCGGATGCGGCCGCACATGGATGAGCCTTGACTTGTCCTGGCGCCGTAGCAACTGGAGAATTTCTGAGAAGCCATACAAAGCCTGATGATTAATGGTACTATATGCCATATAGCATATAATATACATTAATGGCATTATGTATGTAAATAGTATTTATGTCTTGTAGAAGATATAGATAGATAGATAGATAGATAGATAGGTAGGTAGGTAGGTAGGTAGGTAGGTAGATAGATTAGATAGATTAGATAGATTAGATAGATTAGATAGATTAGATAGATTAGATAGATTAGATAGATTAGATAGATTAGATAGATTAGATTGATTAGATTGATTAGATTGATTAGATTGATTAGATTGATTAGATTGATTAGATTGATTAGATTGATTAGATTGATTAGATTGATTAGATTGATTAGATTGATTAGATTGATTAGATTGATTAGATTAGATAGATTAGATTAGATAGATTAGATTAGATAGATTAGATTAGATAGATTAGATTAGATAGATTAGATTCGATAGACTAGATTAGATCGATTAGATTAGATTGATTGGATTAGATTGGTTAGATAGATAAGATAGATAAGATAGATTAGATAGATTAGATTAGATAGATTAGATAGATTAGATGGATCAGATGGATCAGATGGATCAGACAGATCAGACAGATCAGACAGATCAGACAGATCAGACAGATCAGACAGATCAGACAGATCAGACAGATCAGACAGATCAGACAGATCAGACAGATCAGATAGATCAGATAGATCAGATAGATCAGATAGATCAGATAGATCAGATAGATCAGATAGATCAGATAGATCAGATAGATCAGATAGATTAGATAGATTAGATAGGTTAGATAGATTAGATAGGTTAGATAGGTTAGATAGATTAGATAGATAAGATATATAAGATAGATAAGATAGATAAGATAGATAAGATAGATAAGATAGATAAGATAGATAAGATAGATAAGATAGATAAGATAGATAAGATAAATAAGATAGATAAGATAGATAAGATAGATAGGTAGATAGATAGATAGGATAGATAGGATAGATAGGATAGATAGGATAGATAGGATAGATAGGATAGATAGGATAGATAGGCTAGGATAAGATAAGATAAGATAGATAGATAGATAGGTAGATAGGATAGGATAGGATAGGATAAGATAAGATAAGATAAGATAAGATAAGATAGATAGATACATAGATACATACATAGATAGATAGATAGATAGATAGATTAGATAGATGGATAGATGGATAGATGGATGGATAGAAGGATAGATGGATAGATCGGTGGATAGATGGATAGATGGATAGATGGGTAGATGGATAGATGGATAGATCTATATATGTATATCATACATGCATATATAATATCATATGTATATCTGATATATATATATATCATACATACATATATCATATGTATATATATATATGATATATGTATATATGATATATATATATAATACATGTATAGCATATATATATATCATATATGTATTGTGTATATATATATGTATATCATAGACGTACATTATTTATATATATATATATACATCATGGATGTATATATATATACGTATATATCATAGATGTCTATATATATATAGACATCTATGATATATACGTATATATATATATAACATGATGTCCGTGCGTTTGCCTGCAATCCTCCTGTTTTTCATCTTCCCTTGGAACCCCAATCACGGCCTTGTAAGGCAAGCGATAGTGCTGCTCCCCACGTGCGCGGTAGTTGGGCACGTAACCACCATATTTTTCCACCTGAAAACGTGGCGAATGGCTTGAAATCTGTTGAAAAGAGACAACAAGACCACGGAAAACAAGGAGAAATCTTAGTTCACCTAGTTCACTGGATGTTAAACCCCCAAATCCACCATAGGATAGCGTGGTTGGTGGTGTATTCCACTATATTCTCAATGATATTCCTATTGACCTCTGGTAATCAAACATAGTCCGGAAAATCCTCCATTTTGTTCAATGATTTTCCCAGCTATAAACAAAGCCAAGTGCAAACTTCCCTTGAATTCTGGAGCCATGGTGATCAATGTTGATCATATCATTCCATATCATTCCCCTGGTGTTGAAAACGTGTTCCACGGGCAAGCCCTGGCAAAATCCTCATGCCCAGCCACAGCTTCTGCTGCAGCGGCACTCCGTTCCACCTTCACAGGACTTGCCATGGCGAAGCTGCCGAAGCTGGCGAAGCTGCAGAGCTGAAAAGGACGCACACCTTGGGTGGGGCCCCCTGAGTTATGTTTGTTGGCTTATAAACCCGGTGAACCAGTTGGATTGCAGGATACATCTACCAGTCAAAGATAGGAAAGTTGGCGGAAAAAAAAAACCATGAATACTACAGTTGTATTCTCCATAAACCCAAACGTGAACCAAGTGATGTGCGTCAACGTCGGTATTGTTTGGGGGCAGCACCTTTCACATTTGATGACTTGACTATGAATGTCAAGGGTGTATATTGGATAATGATCCCTGAGGTTTGGCCAACTAATGAAAGTTTCATGTTTGATTCATGAAGATTTTAATCATCCATTGTTGTCATGCCACCTCTGTGGCTTTTTTTGAGCCATTGCAGAGAAATGCACCTGGTCAAATTCAACGGGCTTTTTTAGGCTGAGCCCTTGCTCTCATGGTACCCTCTAGTAATTTAACCTAGCTATGGAAAATGGCCCCTTTATAGTGAATTTACCTATTTGAATGGTGATTTTCCATAGCTGTGGGACAGTTTACCAGATGGTAGCCCTTGCCAAAGGAGAACAATGGTCCAGTGGGGACTTACCCGAACCGCTTTTCGGCCGGGAGTGAGGCAGTCGCAGGTCATCGTGTCAGCTGTGTACACAATTCCCTCTGGTAAACTGTCCCATAACTATGGAAAATCACCATTTTTAATGGGAAAATTCACTATAAATGGTCATTTTCAATAGCTATGTTAAATTACCAGAGGGTATTTTCATCTTCAATTAGTGCATGGTAATTATCACTCTCAAACTAATGTTGATAGAGCAATAGTAAACCATCCCCAAATTTACATAATTTACCATGAGTGCCAAAAAAAACCATCCAAAGATTGGTGGTTTACTAACTATTGCTGGCAAATTTCCTCATATGTTGATATACATATTTTATAAACCACAATAAAACATCAAGTAAACCATCTAATGTTAGAAAACCATCTATTATCGCTTTACTAACATTAGGCCCTCCCGAAAATTCCTCAGCGAGATCTCCTCGTAGATGGAATTGAAACACCCACATACCCTACTGTTAAGCCGTAAATAGCTGGGGATTTAGAAATAAGTTGGATCGCAACTCCAATAACTGTTGGGTTTATGGTAGATATATCTCGAAGCAGTTGGGATGATAAACCAACAACGAACATAACTTGGGGGGCAGAGAATGTGCCGAACCAACATTGGGCCAACTGAGTGGGGTGGTTTCCCCTTCAAACTTAGGGACAGAACATAATATACATATATTTCTCTCTTACCTGACCAACTAAGTAGCTAACTAACTAACTAACTAACTAACTAACTAAACTAAACTAAACTAAACTAAAACTAAACTAAAACTAAACTAAACTAAACTAACTAAACTAACTAAACTAACTAAACTGACTAACTAACTAACTAACTAACTAAATAACTAACTAGCCAACTAACTAACTAACTAACTAACTAACTAACTAACTAACGAGCCAACTAAATCATTCACTCACTCACTCACTCGCCAACTGACTAGCTAGCTGGCTAAATCACTCACTCCCTCTTTCTTTCTTTCTTTCTTTCTTTCTTTGTTCTTTCTTACTTTCATTCTTTCTTTCTTTCTTTCTTTCTTTCGTTCTTTCTTTCTTTCTTTCTTTCTTTCTTTCTTTCTTTCTTTCTGTCTTTCTTTCTTTCTTTCTTTCATTCATTCATTCATTCATTCATTCATTCATTCTCCCCCTTTCTGTCTCTCTCTCTCTCTCTCTCTCCCTCCGTCCCTCCCTCCCTCCCTCCCTCCCTCTCTCTCTCTCTCTCTCTCTCCAACTAAGTAATTGGGTAATCACCTATCCAACTGACTTCCTCTGCAGATTGACAAAATATGACAAATATTCAAACCCTGCAACCGGCTCTGAGTTGAACCCCGACCCCCAAATCTCAATGTTTCAATGCGCGTGTTAGCAAAAGTGACTTTGGGGGGTTGATCATTTCCTCGGAGCTAAAGCACCTCATTCACGGTGAGGGGGTTGAACTAGATGGAAAAGGTTTGAATATTTCGTCCATCTACGGTAGTCTATGTATGTATGTACATACATACATACATTACATTACATTACATTACATTACATTACATTACATTACATTACATTACATACATACATATATATATATATATACATACATATATATATATATAATGTATTTTTGTTTATATGTGTGTATGTCTGTGTGCTAAATCAAACGGGTATTTCCAACGGATTCCGCCTTCGTTTGGCTCCAAAACTGGTCTAAACCAAGTCCAGTCTTGATCACGCACCCATGACCTTACATATTTGTTGATACAGAAGCGCATCTATTGTGGATAAGATCGCTATTTGATGTGAAAAACCAAGGAAAAAAGCCAAGTTCGTGACCGTCTGATGAAAATATCACCGAAAAATGTGGTAGCACATCTCCAAAGACCATTTGAAGGTCATGTTTCGAATTCCCAAACTAGTACATTTGCCCGTGTGGTGCACAGAAAAAACGGCCAAGATCACCATATGGACTTCAGAAACCACCTCCTGATCAACACAAAAATGTGCTGCAGCAGTTGGGTGTGTTTGAAAATTGCGGTATACCGTATACACACAAACAAATAGCCTTGTTATAGGGACAATAATAATAATCCATTTATTTCAGGGATACCCTATTTTCAGACAACACCCATTTCTTTTTCCTTCGCAATTTCATTCGCAAAAACCATGAAGTCTGCTGGCGGCTAGAAGCACATGCACCTGCCGAGAAGGTGCCATTGATGAGGAAAAATGACACCCAGAAGCCTTCTTGAGATCCCCAAATTGGTCAAAGTGTGTTAAAATACGAACAATTCTAGCAGGTAGGGATGGAAATAGATTGACAATTGTTGTTAGATATTGATGAAAACAACTTAAGCAGGGAAAATAATGTCCATCTGATTTAGTACCCGTCTCTTGTTGCGGGAGTCTGCCGCAATCGACTTGCTCTTGTTGCGATGGCACTAAGCTACAGCCGTCTGGTAAATGTTACTTTCCGTGGTGAGGTTGGCAGGGAAATGGCCTCATAATTGGTACCCTCTGGTAAACTGTCCCATAACGAACTGGAAAGATCCACCATTTTATAGCTGGGGATTCATCAACGAACTAAATCACCATTTTCAATAGCTATGTTTGACAAATAACCAGGCAGGGTATCCTCATATATTCCCATGATTTTCCCATGAATTCCCATATAAAACCTCCATTTTCAATATCTTTGGCGGCTTCTGTGCCGTCATGGGGGATCCTCGTTAAGTCATGGCCATCCTTGCCAACGGCACCGGCACTGCCGGCACTGGAAACGGATCGATGAAAAATCAGAAAATGATTGGTGCCATTTTTATGGATGCTTTGTAATGGAACATCAACAAATCAACAGATGGCAGTGTGTCAAAACCTTGTACCCCTGGTGAACATCAAAATAGCTGGCAAATGGATGTTCATCCCACTAAAAAAGGTATTAATAGGTATTGATCCATACCCAGATGTTTGTCATGGGGGTACCCAAGCTCGCTGGAAGGTTTTTTTCGTGGAAAATCATGGTGAAATAGATGGAAAATTGGGGAGAGCCCTAAAAATGCGGAAACCTCCGTATCCCAAGTGCTGGTTGGAATACCCAGGATTCGTACTCCGTGATGGTCCGTGGCGCAAACGGATGTTCCCAATGTTTACCCGGTGCCAAAATGGGGTCAAATCCTGATTAGTACTGCAAGAACATAGTTCAATGGATTGGTTTAAGGGAAAATCTTAACCGGAAACCATCGATTTTTCAATTAAAAAAAGGGGAATCCATTGAATAGTTGATCCCCCATCTCATTGTAAATCATGTTTGCCAAATTGTCACAAAATGACCACCCAGCATCCGTACGGATCTAGCATCCAAGTGCCAAAGGTTTTTTCCATGGAGAAGATTACCCTCTGGTAAACTAACATAATATTATTGGTTACCAGTAGCACCGCACAAGGCGGTGGCGGAAGTTTCAAAAATAGGAAACCTATAGGAGAAGTTGGTTCTTGTGAATCAGGGATGGCAGAGCGAAGCCACTGATGGACCGAAAGGTGCTTGAGGTCTCCTCTCTTTCTCTCTCTTGCTCTGACTATCTACCTACCTACCTGTCTATCTTCTATGTATCTATCTATCTATCTATCTATCTATCTATCTCTCTCTCTCTCTGTCTATCTATCGATCTATCTATCTATCTATCGATCTATCTATCTATCTATCGACCTATCTATCTATCTCTCTCTCTATCTATCTCTCCGTCTATCTATCTACCTTTTCCACGCTGGCCCGCAACGAATTCCAAGTGCTGATGTGCCATCATGCGGTCAGAAAAGACACACACGCTGGCCTGCAACAAATGCTTCGGCATGCAATGAATTACGGATGCGGTACTCAACCCGCACTAACCCGTGCGTTTTGCCAGAAAAAAAAAACATCAGCATGCGAACTTGCTCCAGCATGGAATTCGAAACAACAATCAGACTTCATAAATTATCAGGTTTTGGAAAGCCTCGGATTTTGTGTGTAAACCCTGGGTATTTGAGCAAACCCTACAAAAACTTTGGGTTTGGATATGTTAGGTATCTATATATATATCTCTCTCTCTCTGTCTGTCTGTCTATCTGTCTATCTGTCTATCTCTCTGTCTATGTCTCTACCCATCGATTTCTCTGTTTGTCTTGATGTCTAACTATCTGTCTATGTGTCCATGTATCTATCTGTCTGTCTCACCATCTATGTCTCTAGCTGTCCCTCTAACTATTTATCTATCTGTCCGTCTATCGATCTATCTATTTATCTATCGATCTGTCTGTCCGTCTATCTATGTATCTATCTATGTGTCTATCTATCTATCGACCTATCTATGTGTCTATCTATCTGTCTATCTATCTATCGATCTATCTATCTATCTATCGACCTATCTATCTATCTCTCTCTCTATCTATCTCTCCGTCTAT